AAGTTTTCGGAACTTTTTTAATGGTTTCTAAAATTTTCTTGAAATTATTTGAACTGCCCTTTGATTTTTTGATCTGTCTTGATGTTCTCGAAGCTTCCGTAAAGCTCTCAATTCTATTGAAGATAAATTTCCCAGAAATTATTTGGACTTCTGTGAAGTTCCTGAAATATTTCTGAAGTTTTCATAAACTCTTTGATAGTCTCTGTAATTCCCTGAAATTCTCGGAACATCTTAAGGGTTTTCAATTTTTCATAGCAAACTAAATATACTTTTTCTCTCGAAGAAAACGATGTGCAGCGGAATCATTTTTGTGTCGAGTCAACTCTCAGCTTCTTTTTACATGCTGTGAATAGTCTAGCAACATCAAAGGAGTTTGTAAAATCAATATTAAGCATGATATATTATTCCAATTCCGCGTGATATTGAGAGCGTTTGAGAGTGAAAAAATAGCATTTGAACAACACTGCTGTCCACCATACAATAGGTCTTAAAATGCTAAATAACTTTTTTTAAACAGCAACCTTCTATCTAGTCGTGCTGTCAAGTTAAAACATGCAATAAGATGTCAAATTGCACGCTAGTGTAACCTGGTGAGTGAACTCTGAACTGAGCTGTCGACCATCCAAAAGGTCTTATTCATCTGAATAGCTTTGTCGAAGATCGCTACCTTGTATCTAGTCGAAGCCGCAAGTTAAAGCAAGCAATTATAAGTTAAATGGCACACTAGCACCACCTGGTGAGCGAATTCAAAAGTGTGATGTACACCATCTGCCAAAGACAGAAACCTGCTAGTCAAAATGTTAAGTTATGCTAGTAATTTGAAAACAAATGTTGATTTTTTTTAATAAAAAACACTGCCAACAGGAGGGCTAATTTTGAACTGTGCTGTTCACCATCCAATAGGCCTTTACGCTATTTCAAAACTACCCAAATTTGGGTAGAAACCACCCAGATCGGTGAAAACTGAACCTAATCTAATCTAATCTAACACCAACACAGCCAGTTCTTGACCAGATCGGTCAAAACTGAACCTACCCAAAAATGGATGAACTATGTTGGGAGTGACAAGTTGACAAATGGAAAACATGGAAATGAATTCGATCGACTTTGGTCCTTTGTCAACTTGTCATTCCCAACATAGTTTAACCATTTTTGGGTAGGTTCAGTTTTGACCGATCTGGGTGAATTCTACTCAAATTTGGGAAGTTTTGAAATAGCGTGTTAGCCATCTGAACAACTGAGATGAAGATCGCAAAATGTCACTCAAAGCCGTACACTGAACACGAATCTTACTCAGAAAGTGTGTCACACTTTTTAAAGCGTAGGTGAGTAAAAGAGCCTCACAACTGAGTAAAAGTGACTCACTCTCTGAGTTATTTTCGTTTTCAGTGCAGAAAAATCGATGAATATTTTACTTAGTCATTGAGAATACTCGAAAACTACGCCAAATTTTGCAATTTTGACAAATTGACATCTCTCTGTTGTTGATCGACTGATTTTCGAGAAGTTGTTTGTTAAAATTGATTCCTTGTCTGTCAGAAATAAGTCTGGTGGAATAGCAGGGTTATTTAAAACAAATCAAAGTTAAGTTAAGTTAAAGTTAAGGAAAAATTCACCACACGGACAAAGAGAGTAACTCAAAATCGACGATAGACTTAAAAGACGGAAAACCAAGGAAAATTTTACTCTTTCAGTGAGTAGCCCCATATGGTCGATGAGAACGACTCAAAATTGAACCGTTTATCACTCAAACACACGCAGGTTACTCATAGACTGAGTAAAATGTTTCTCGATTGTGCTCCAAAAAAATGCTAGATTATGGGAAAATTCAGGAAATTTGTACTCAGTCTATACGGCCAATGAAACTAACTCAAAATTGAGTCGAGTTCGACTAAAAATCCCAAAAGCTCAAATTACCCATAGATTCATATTCGAGTTTTTTTTTATGAAAATTCGAGAACATTTTAGTCAGGTCTACAGGGCCGCGCTTCTATTAGGCTGTTATTGCCGAGTAAAATTAAACTCGTTTTTAAAAGTGATATTTCGAAAGTTATTCTCTATGTTCGAAAACCCCTGTGCTGTCGATCGACCGGTTTTCGAGAAGAACTCAGCCACGGTTGTCAAAATTAAACTTCTTGTCTGTCAGAAATAACCACGCTCGGATAGTAGGGTTAATGGATAACTTGCCATCTGTCAAATTTTAACCAAAAGTTAAACATATCCACCAAATGGATCAGAGCCTTAATAATATCTCAGATTCACGCACACATATGACGCTTGCGATTCTGTCCATTCCAATCGACAGAATTGTTCAAAACGGGTTGAAACTTCTCAGGTGAGTGTGACTATTCTTGGCAGCCTCTTTTTCTTCGACAACCTTTCCATTTGAACTGCATATTAAACAGCTGTTCTATTATCGTCAAATCGAAATCAGCCGTACTTTGTAGTGCGTATGTTTCATTTGAAGAAAAACCTGGCATAACAGGTTGCTCAGCCGTAAAAGTGTAATCAGATTGAATCTGACAAACTAATGAATCGTTTAAATACATCCTGCAAAGTGTTTTGCCGCAAAAAATCAATGGGTGGCGAAGCCATCGTTTACCCTACTTCAAGTAGGCTTCAAGCATTAAGCATGCAATTGATTTTTGTAAAAGATGACCAATAAGTTGATTTTTAGGCGGGTGGGACACATTACACAATTGGCTAAATAACCCCACTTTCTCCGATTAACCGATTTTTTGATCGGCATATGGAGACCCGAGGGGGAGGGAGGGGGGACAGTGACAAATTTAGAGCAATTCAGAGTTACTCTGAGAAAATCTCTTACTCTCTGAGCGAACCTATCTCTCATTGCTAGTGGGAAAATTTCTGGACAACAATTCGAGTTTAAGGTTCGTTAAAGACGTTTTGAAATGTTCAGCTAGATAGTTAACCTCGTTTGTTTTAAACATGATGAACAGGAGCAGAGGACTTATATTTCACTGTGGATGATTTTAACTGTCTTGAATACTAAAATCCGAATCGAGATGCAGAATAATTTATCCTCAACATCGGAGTCACACTCAGGACCGATGGGACCAGGTCAAATAAACCTAATAGTGAATTTGTTTATTATTCAGTTCCAACCTGCATCGGGTATCAAGATCGGCTCTGTTTGTTTTCTGACAAACGTCAGTTTGATCGTTTGTTTTTAAAACCTACCTCAGGTTGAGGTTCGCTCTGGCAAAAAGGTTCGGTTTCACGATAATAAACAAATTCGCTATAAGAGGAAGACGAGACCAGAAACGACTTTATCTCGCGTGACATTTGAAAAGGGCCTTCAACTAAAATGTAAACAAACCAGAAAATGGATTGTTAATAATCTCTGTCTTTTTCTTGGCCTTTTTAATCATTTTAATTCTTATCTTGCATATCATTTGAAAACTGCACACTACCAAAATATTAGTAAACCAGAAAATGGATTGTAAATAAGCTGCCTATTTTTATTCCTATATAAGGAAATCGAAGTTTTTTTAGACTTTGTACAGTACAGTATGGCAATAATATCGCACACAGCACCCAAACATGGTTGGCCTTTTTTAGCGTGCGGGCCTTGGTGCGGGCCAATGAATGATTCGAAAAATTTCTTTGATCGGCCGATTTGAAAATTGAGTTATTTATAATGATTTTTACTAGTTATGCGGAACATTCTTACACGATTTGTAGCTTGCAAGCGGTGCTATAGAATGGTATCAAAAACCGATTTGATTATATTTTGATTATAGGCCCTTTTCAAATGTTACGCGAGATATGCCTTGTTCTTTATTTTTCCCTATGCAGATCAGAGCAAATCATAGTAACTCTGAGTAACTCTCAGCTTAAGAGACACTTGCATTAAAGCCGTACCCGGGGGGGGGGGGGGGGGGTGGGGGGGCTCTGTGGAGACCTATTCAAAAATTAATCGATAATAATGTTGGAAAGTGTGAGAGTTCTTCGGAAGATGATTACTAACTTTTTTGTATACTGCTTGGCAAAGAATGTTTGCCAATTTTCCCTATCCTATTTGAAGAACTTTCTGTTTTTATTTGGAATTCTTTTCAAATGTCATGTTTCTGAAATTTCTTTAGAATGGTTGAGGAACTTGCTTCCGTCCTTCCGCAAATACTCCTCATGGAAAAATTAAAAGATGTTTAAAAATATTTCAAAGGCTGCATTAACGGGTGGCCTTTAAACTGGATTTTGAATGCTATAACCTCCTATGTCATCAGAAGCCGATATCAACAGACATTTGAGAAACGCAAATGAAGGTGGGTCTGCCACACAATACAAAAGGGCGGAAGCCAAATCTGCAAGCAAGCACTAGATTTGAATCCGGCAGGACATCGGATCAATGCAGTGGAACCTCAACGTGATCCCATGGAAGCAGACAATCGTCAACCGTGACGGTCCTTTACATTGACCATATGCACCACTACACTATTGCTGCTCAAGATTCTTAAATACTGCGACGAGCTTCTGAAATGTTTGCTGATCTTCGATGAAGCCATCAAAGCACATGTAGGATATCTTTCTAGTACTGCAACTATGCACGTTTTTCACTTTTCTCGCGAGCTTTACGCTATCATACCCCAGTATTCTAACCACACTCACTCATTCCTCCTGTATACAATTTGAAATTTTGCAAAAATAAATCGAAACAGCAAATAAATAGTTCCACCCACTCACACACAATAATTATTCAAAACAAAACACCGACTTCGAAAACCTTGAAACGGAAAACACACTTCGCTACATGAATCTTTTTATGCCCCTCTACATGGGCGCTTGCGAGCCAATACGCAATAACTGTTGCACCAGCCGTTCGTAGCCGTAGCACGCGCGCCCATCGAAATGATTGTTTGTACAAGAGGAATTTACTATATCGAATGATCTGAATGGCAGCGAACGGGATGAGACTCTCATTGGTTAGAAGAAAGAAAGAAAAATCAAATCAAATCCGATAAACCTAAAATCCTACTCACCCACTCAGCTCCGTCGACGTGATCGGTTGCGTTTTGAATCGGTACGATTCCCGCCGGGAAGTGGCACAGCCGCCGGTCTTTTTCGGTACGGCACCGGAACTGGATCCTGCGGCGCTACTGCTACTAGTGTTGTTGCCATTACCGCTGGGGGACGGCGTGGAGAGGAACTTTTCCATATTTTTGATCCGCTCCGCCACGGATATGATCGGTTTCTCGATGTTTTGAACCTGAGGGACGATGGCTGCCGCCTGAACTGATTCTGGATGTTCCAACGAGCGGCTTCGGCTGAGAACGGGATTCGGGTCCGGATCACGATCGCCGAACGAACGCCGCTTGGCGGGGCTGTCCGTTTTCAAGATGGAACGTTTCAGTTCTTCCGAGTCGGAATTCTCCTCGCGACTGCTTTTGCGAGAAGATTTCAGGATCGGGCGGATTTCCTCCGATTCGGATGAGTATTTCTTCTTGAGGATCGGTTTCGGTGTGGGCAGTGGTTGGCTGTCGGACTTGAGGATGGGGCGGATCTCGTGGTCGTGTTCGTGATCCAGAAGCATGTCCTGACAGATTTCGGCCGCGGCGAGGATCACCGCTTGCGAGATCGAAACATGCTTCGGTTGTTCGTTGGGGGTGGACGTCGAGGAGCTGTCGGTTTTCTTCTTGAGGATTCCGTGCGAGACGACACTGTTGACGGCCGTAGTGCTGCCGCCGCTGCCACCGGTGGCCGAAACGTCTTCCTTCGATTCGTAGGATTTCTGCTTGAGGATGCCGTGTTGAGTTCCGTCTTCGAAGCTGTTTCGGCGGGTGTGTTTGACCAGGATGCTCCGATCGTCCGGGGAGTGGCTTCGGCTGTATCTGCTTTCGTCCAGCGAGCAGCGTTTCTTCAGGATGCCTTGCCTGCGGTTGGATCGGATGGGAGTGTCCAGCACGCTCGGCGAGAATGTTACCGGCGAGGCATTGCTCGATGCAGAACTGTTGGATTCTACGGTTTTGCGTTTCAAAATCGACACGATATGGTTGGAAGCCGGGGAAATGACCGATGATAGATGATTTTCCTCCATGCTCTTGGCTCGTATGATGGGCGATAGGCTCTTCTTTCGCTGTGGGGAGCAGCTTTTACGCTGGTGCAGACATTCAAAGTGTTCCACGGAACTCATCTTGACCAGCTTCTTCTCGTACGGTGGACCCGATCCTGCACTGTTACTGCTGGCCGGTCTCGGTGGGTAATCCTCGTCGTTGTCCCCAATCACAATAATGTCAGTCTCGTCGAGCGATTGTATAAAGTGACTCTTGGGACTGTTCTCTATTACTACAAACTCATCGTTAAACTTATCGTCGAATAGGATCCGGTTCGCCGGCCGCGGCGAGGACGAACGACTTCTACGTACATTTCGCAGGAGTAACCGTTCCGCGACCAGTTCTTCTTCCTCTTCCCCTTCGTCATCTTCGTCGTTATCAATTATAATCGGACACAGTCCGGAAGGTCCTGCCTCCATCAGATCCAAATCCTGCTCTTCTTCATGCACGATCACCAAGCTTTCCAATTCCACGTCCAAAGGCACCACTTCCTGCTCGTCCACTTGGTCCAACAAGGGCACTTCCTCTTCCTCATCCTGCACGACCGGCGGGATGAGCGGCGGAAGAACCGGCACTCTCACTTCGTACTTCTCCAATGTGGGAGATTTCAGCATTTGACTAAATTTAGAATATTGTTGCACCACCTGCGGCAGTGGCGAATCCGGTAGCTCACCATCGGAAATTCGGCTATCTACTCTAACGTCTTCCAGGCGGTCGTTGCTACCGCTAGCAATTGGCGGCACTTCGTCTCCGGCCAAGGTAGCACTCGAGCTGGACGAATCCACGTTGAGCGGAGGGCCTCCCGACGGCGGAGGAGGGCTTCGGCCGAGAAGGAATGTCAGTCCGGTGGCGGCCGGTGAAGCAGACTTGCTGGTGCTGGTGCTTACCAGCGGCGACGACGCCGGACTTGAGACCGCCGTACTAGTTGCTAGGGATGTGACGGATGATTGCGACGGAAGGGTGGCCAGATGTGGCGAGGAAGCGGGGGTCGTTACTGCGGTCGACGGTGGAGATACCGACGGTGACGATTTTTCCACGGAATGCGACTTCCGGACGAGTCTGCCGGCCCGCACCGAAAGCGGACCGGCACTGTCGTTAGTCGGCGAGGTTGTTGTTGCATTGAGTTTCCCGGCGACGGTTTCCGGACTGGAGAGCGGGGCACTTCCGGATTTCTGACGGATACGGCGCCGTTCGGTCGACGAGGGTCCTGGAATAATAGATGGGAAATGGGTAAGTGGTTTGAGCATGGGTAAGTGATTTGAGATCGTTTGAAGAGCTTTGCGATCACACTGATCTTTTTTTATACAAATGGGGGGGCCAAAATGGAAACTGAGGGGGAGGGTGTGCTTCCCCCCGGTTGGGTTGTTGGGATGATGAAACAAACAAATAGGGGTGGCGTTCCATGTCAAGCGATTTACGGTAAAGATTGTTGATCAAGTTTCTACGAGAAGGTTTGAAAGCTGTTGAGAGCTTTGAATGTTTTCGGAAAAAGCCATGAATACCTTTATCGATTGGGAGAGGCCCAGAAGGTTTATGCGGACGATCAGACTGACTCATAATTGAGTCAACTCAATTTCGTCAAAATTAGTTTTACTCAAAATTAAGTTGAATTTTGCGGTGTTTTACAGGAAAAACTTCTCGGATATGAGAAAAATTCATGAAAATCATATAGATTTTCCTCATATTCGAGAAGTTTCTCCTGGAAAAGCCTGGAAAATTCAGCTAAATTTTAAGTAAAACTAATTTTGACAAAATTAGTTCTTCCGTAGGCACTCCTCCTGGTAAATTTGCTGGTTCATGGTCCCAGAAATAACAAAAGTTTCGTTTTTCAGTCCACAACAAGGAACTTTTTGGATAATTTCCACTTCTTTTTGATTTTATGCCTACTGTGATTCTATACACTCTTAGCTTGATTCAATGAAATTTTGAATAAAATTACTCAAAAATGCCATATAAGCAGCGTTTTTAATGTGTCCGGAATTTTTCGTGTTCAACCTTTAATAAAGCTCACGCCGGTCCACGCCCTGATCGGCGCATAGGTCTAATTTCAGTAGCTTGCGTGGGCGAGCGGAAAATTTGCCGTCAAAGTCATTGTTTCTAAAAGCACTTATGTATATTTCTAGTGTTCAAATATTTTAAATTGAAACTCAGATGAATTCAGACTAAGTGGATCTAAATCCACGCCAGAGCAAATCTGAGATGCCAATCCAAGAAAATCGTCTTGCCGAAAGACAAACTTTTTTCTATTTCTCCTCATCGACATCACCATCTTACAAAACTTGCGTAGGAATTTCAGGGTACCGTAAAACGGGGGGAAGTTGATCACTTTTTACGGATGCTTTTTCCAACCATATGTTAGGCACACAAATAAATACCTCTCCTGTACTAGCAAATGCTTTCCTAATGTACGAGTTTAGATTTGAAATTGTATGTTGGTTTATTTTTTAGAATTAAAATTAGATCAAAAACGCAAATTTTCAATTCTGGAGGTGAAGTGCAAGGTTGTATAAATGTAATATTTAGAAGTTAGCATTTAAACTTGATTTGTGTTCGCTGAAGAAAAATCTAGTGTTAAAATTTCAGCAAAAGTTACGGTTTACGAATAAATTGCATATCTCGTTACAAAAAGTTAGAAATACGCCTAAATGTAGGCAATTAACATCAGCGACACAGCACCAGAATAAATGCTGATTCTGATGGAATGTTATGGAACAGTTAAAAGTTGCATATTTGATCACTTCCAGTAAATTCTCTCCTAACTTTTCAAAAGGTCCTAAGTAACAAATGTAAACAAATCGAGTTTATAAATACACATTGTAACATTTGTACCTAAGAACATTATGCACACACACACACACATTCAGATTAATGTCAATTGAATTGAGAAAATTCTAAATTAACAAAACGTCTGAAGTCCAAATTTGCATTAACGATGTTTCACTGTTACATAAGACGTTTGACTATGTTCATCAAGACATAAGACATGAAGTATCAGAAAATCCAAAACAATGCAGATCTCTACCACCGACGAACCGACGTGACAGCTCATACAAGCTACTTTCAAATTCGTGCCCAAGACGCCATATTTAAAATACGTTAAACACTACCGACATCTACTCATCCTATCGCGTCATACTATGAGCAAGGACACGAACCCACGTATAATTTATACTGCCTTGGTTTGCGTCTCACCTCGTTTGACAGATCTGTTCACCCGTTTGAAAGTTCGAATCGCTAGTTTGACAATTCGAATTGTGGGCAAACGAAATGCTCATGTTGCATGTCGGTTCGTCGGTATATCTACTTCGATCCTTTGTGTTTATACGAGTCAAACGTCTAAAATGTTCAAACAAACCAAAACAATGTGATTGTGCACATCGGAATTTTCATGTCAAGCATTTTTCTACTGTTTCCGCGTGAAAATCTAATTTCCTATCGAATAGCGTTCCGGTAATTCCTTTATTCGGTGAAGCGTTCAACTGGCGGGGCATTATACATGATCAGGGCCCAGCAAAGTCACTTTCAATCGAAAATCATCAAGCGACGACGAAGGTGTCAACCATCAATTGAAAGTCATTCTGTCTTCTCATCGAGCAGATCCCCTTCAACATCAACAGAACCACTTTCGATCAGTTTTCATGCTTTTAGTTTTGGCTTGACTCGTGTTCATTTCGTCTTTCATTGTCAAACGAACTTGCTTTCGTATTGAAGCAAACTGTTCGATCCAAATTTGCGCAGTTTTTCTGACTTTTATTGATTGCTCACTCGGTTCATTTTAGCGCATGCGCATAGATCTGTGGGCTACAAAATGGTGAGTGACAATCTGGAAGGAGCGATATACCTAGCTCCGGTCCTCACAAGTTCCTACCTCACGCCTCCACGAGTCATATGATCACAAAAGACTGCCAGCTGAAACATGGACACAGCTGGTTGGCGTAGCCTGGGCAATGTTGTCAATCCGACAATAGTGAGGAGGTGCGACGCGAACACTGGCGCGGTAACCATAACAACCCGAGCGTCTGTTCACCATGGAGGTGTGGCTCAAACAGCGTCTGACTGGCATCCAGCGGCTGAATAAGAAATGCTCTTCCCCGGAAGCTACACCTAAGATGGCAGCCCCATCACGGCGAATAGGAGACCTTAGGTCAACCACCTACTGTCTCTGAAACCTTTACAATCGTTACAGAAACCAACAGAGAAAGACATCGAACTGATTTAACGGCAACGACTTATAGCGCAAAACAACGGACACGAATTGGATCATGGAATGTATTGTTATTGTTAGCCCAGCAGGGTAAACTGGCACAACTTGCCAACGAGGCGCGACGCATGAAGCTAGAAATCCTGGGACTGAGTGAAGTTCGTTGGCCAAACTTTGGAGAACACAAACTGCCGTCGGGACAGATACTACTATACTCTGGTATTCGAGGTGAAAACGCTCCCCGCCATCGTGGAGTTGGTCTCCTACTTAGCGTCCAGGCAAGTGCTGCGCTCATCAAGTGGGAGCCTGTTAATGAGAGGATAATCGTTGCCAGATTTAGAACACGGGTTCGTAACCTTACCATAATCCAATGTTATGCGCCAACCGATGCTGCCGAGCTACAGGACAAGGAGAATTTGCCGTCGTGGATAAGTTTCCAAAGGGTGACATCAAGATCTACACTGGCGACTTCAATGCGAAGATCAGCTCCGACAACACGGACTATGAGCGTGTCATGGGACGCCATGGTCTCGGCGAAATGAGCGAGAACGGTGAGCTGTTTGCAGAATTTTGTGGCAATAACGACATGGTGATCGGGGGCTCGCTCTCCCCCCATTGGCCAGTGCACAAAGCCACGTGGGATGGACATACCGAAAATCAGATCGACTACATCTGCATCAGCCGAAAATGGAGAGGAGTCTTCTTGATGTCCGGAATAAACGCAGCGCCGACATCGTGTCTGACCATCACCTTCTAATCTGCGAAATCCGCCTACGCATGGCGCGGATCCAGCGACGGTAGGAGAGACTCGGGCGGCGGTTTAACACACGCCGACTTGAAGATCCAGCGGTAAAAAGATTTTATTGAAGAACTTGAGACTCGAGCTGCGGACGTTCCAGAAGGTGGCAGCGTAGAAGAACAATGGAAGCTCATCAAGAATGCCTTTATAGAAACAAGCGATAACAACTTGGGTGAGCTGCGCACCCAGAGGAAAGAGTGCATCACAGATGAAACCTGGCGGAAGATTGAGGAGCGTAGAGAAGCAAAAGCCGCGATAGAGCGGGCGAGAACCAGAGGAGCCAAGAACGAAGCCCGTCAATGGTACTCGGCTCTAGAGAAAGCCGCAAACACTGGCGATATACGCCTCTTCTACGATATCTCACGACGCCTGAGTGGAGCAAGGATGAACCCGAGGATGCCAGTGAAGGACACGACTGGACAATTGCTTACCGACCCCACTGAGCAGCTGAAACGCTGGTTTGAGCACTTCGAACAACTTCATCAAATTTCGTTGGCCAACCAGCCATCAACATCTTGGCATGATCCGCCTAGGGTGCGGCGCATCACTCGCGTCAATTCCGAGGCCCCATCACTGGAGGAGATTAAAGCAGCTATCCGAAGCATGAAATCCAACAAGGCTCCAGGGGTCGATCGCATATCAGCAAAGATGCTCAAAGCTGACCCCATGCTATCCGGACAAATGTTGCATCAACTATTCTGTAATATCTGGGACACCGCGACTTTTCCGGCCGACTAGATGCAGGGCATCTTAGTGAAGGTCCCAAAGAAGGGGGATCTGACTGTGTGCGACAATTGGCGAGGCATCATGTTACTGTGTATTGTTCTCAAAGTTCTGTGCAAAGTTATCCTGAATCGGATACAGGAGAAGATCGACGCGACTCTCCGACGGCAACAGGCAGGATTCCGTGCCGAAAGATCTTGTGTGGACCATATTGTCACGCTCCGCATCATCCTGGAGCAGGTCAATGAATTCCAAGAGTCCCTTTATTTGGTATTCATTGACTACGAAAAAGCTTTCGACCGTCTCAATCACGAGAATCTGTGGGGCGCCCTGAGACGCAAGGGAGTCCCGGATAAAATCGTCAACCTCATCGAAGCGCAGTATGAGGCTTTCACGTGCAGAGTTCTGCATAACGGAGCCTTGTCCGACCCTATAAGGGTAGTCGCTGGTGTAAGACAAGGATGTATACTATCACCGCTACTGT